GGCTCAGCGGCCATGGCTCACGGGCCCAGCCGCTCCGCGGCATGTGGGATTTTCCCGGACCGGGGCAGGAACCGGTGTCCCCTGCATCGGCAGGCGGATTCTCAACCAGTGCGCCACCAGGGTAGCCCAAGGCCAATCGTCTTTAAAAAAAAAAAAAAATCCATTCTGCAAAAACTATTTTTATTATTCCTGTGAACTTATGACAAGGAATGTATCCAGGAACAAGGCTTCAAAATCTAAGCTATGTTCCACTGTTTGCAGTTTCCTTGGATTTTAACTAGGTGTGCAAGTTGACTTCTGACCATGGGGAATCCTCTCCATACATGGATTTATGGATTGTTGAGGCCATGGCAGATAACCAGTTCCGCAGAAGCAACTTCACGTTCTTCTGAGGAAGATCCATAGCACTGTGGAACAAGGAATATAAATGAGCGATGCCACAAGAGACTGCAGATGGGGTTACCAAGATACAACCCTCAAAAATGAACTCTGAAGGTGGAAAAACTACAAGAAAAAAAATATTAAAATAGGCGTTTTAAAAAGGTTTCAGCTATCATGTTAAGAGCACTGATGGACATTCAATAGACGGCACATGCTTCTTAGGCATGGAATGTATAAATCTGTTATAAAAAGAAACATTTTCAGCACTGCCAGAATTTAAAAACAAAAAACGAAAAACTCAAGCATCTAGAGGGGAAAACACCAAATGAAAAGATTCAAACTGTAGTAATGACTATTTGGCCTTTAACCATTTCCAGTTAAATTATATTTGAAAGCTCTCCCTCCCCCACTCATAGCCATACACAAGCACACCAATTTTTAAACATTTTATAATGGCCAAAGAAGGGGTTTACATAGATATATTTGTTAATGGAACTCATTTTTTAATAAGTTGCTAATTCATTTTAGCCTCACATCAGTTCCATCTCATTCCCCAGTCCCTTTCCTGATGTCTAACAGTGAATGTCCTGTACCATGAGGTCAGCTTCCTGTGGCACTTTGGGAATTATCTGTTTGGGGTTTAAATAAGTACAGTTTATAAAGTTCTCTGTCTCTTCCTCAGCCCCCACTAGGGTTGATAAAGGCATTTCCAGAGGCAAACGGTTCTCTTCCTCCCTCTGCTCTTCCTCCTCCAGCCCCTCCCCTTCCTCTGCATGCTCCGCCCCCTCCACCCCTTCCGCCCCCTCCGCCCCCTCCTCCACGGAGTCAGGCTCTTCGGCCTTCTCTTCGTCCTTGGCCTCTGCCTCTGCGTCCTCCTCCTCGCTCTCCAACTCCTTGCAGTCACAGTCCTCCTCGCCACACTTCTCCTCCTCCTCATTTCTCTCCTCTTCCTCTACCGGCTGTGGGCTTGGAGACTGGTTTTCCTCATCCGGGTCCGGACTGAAGGCTAGAGAGGGATTCTGCCCAAAGCTATACAAAGTTGCCCGCAGCTCCGCATCTTCCTCGCCACCGCTGGGGGGCGCATCGTTTCCGAAGGAGCCGGCCGCGGATGCGGTGCCGCCCGCCTGGGGCTGCTGGGCCCGCAGTGCCTCCTGCTGCCGCATATCCTCGTAGATATGGTTCATGATGAACTGGGTGGTGTTCCGCGGTGCCCGCAGGCCGGGTTCCCAACACCTGCACAGGTTGACCGGCCGCAGCAGCGTGCTCAGATCCTCTGAAGGGCTCCTCTGGAAGGAGCGGCGAGGGTCGCAGCGCAGGCCGCGGCCCTGGCGGCCCCAGTGCTTCTTCCTGGCCGGGGGCCTCGCCCAGCCGGGGTTACAGGGCCCGCGCCAGCAGGAGCAGCAGCAAAGGCAGAATGGGTGCAGGCCGTACACCCGGATCACTTGCACGCGGCCAGGGGGCTTCTGGAATCCCTCCAGAGGTGGGTGCCAGGGCCCTCCCCAGCGCCCCTAATTAGAATACACGGCCCAAGAGGGACATCTGGGTGGCTGGAACCAAGGTCCTGAGCCGTGCTGTTGCTTCCGCTGTTTCCTCGGGGGCTCATACTCGGCCTTGGGACCATAGCGATGCCACTGCCTGTAAACCGGAGCGCCCCTGCGCCTTCGATGGCAGGAAGACCAGGTGCTTAATGGGCCAGAGGACGCCCCCCCGTGGCCCAGGTTAAGCGGATCCTCTTTTCTATCGAGGGGCTGGGTCATGATTCAGGGAGCTCTGAGAGGTCTAAACGGAAGCGTCCTAGAAGCTGCCGTCAAGTTTGGCCAGATCTGACGGTCTGAAGAACCTCGTGTCTCTCTCTCTCTCTCTCTCTCTCTCTGTGCAGCACCACGTGCCTGCCGCTGGGATCACGCCTTTCTCTCCAAAAGGACCCCTCTTCTCTGCTCGCTCGATCGTTCTTCCACGTAATCTCTGCCCCTTGGCACCCCGGTTGTCTCGTCCAGGTGAGTTTGGGTGGGACTGGAGCTGGGTAAGGATGGTGGGGGAGGAAGGTATTGGTGGGCGACGCGCAGTGAGACCCGCTCCCGGGTCCCCCACACCCCCGCCTCACAGGAGGCTCGGACTGGGGACGGGAGAGGCAGGGGTTGCGCGTTACCTTGCGGCTCCTTCTCAACCCAGGTGCTTCACCGTCGCGTCCTGGCTAGACTGAGGCGGGGTGGGCAGCGGCAGCCTTTAAATACCGGCCAGGGGCCCCGGCGCACCCGCCGCATCCTTGGTTGCCCCGAGAGACAGCCAATTGGGGTTGAGGTCGTTCTCCCTGGGCGTGGAGTTGGGGTTCCACCCAGAACGAGGTTGCCCGTGAACATTCGCAGGGGGCTTGTGACGCAGTTTTTGAGGGAGGTGGCGAGGGGCGGGAGGCTGGGTTTGTGCTGCCCACGTTAGGAAACGCTTGAGGCAGTTTATTTGAACCCTTAAACCACCTTGAGGTGCGAGGTTGTGGAAGATGGACCTTCGGCTGAACGCAGAGGTGGGGGTTGGGGAAGAACTTGTGTATCGAAAAACAATATCCTACACCTTTGGGACGGCCCAGGGGGTAAAGAGAAAGCTCTCGGAGTCAGAAAACTGGGCCCCACTCCTTACCTTGTGGCCTGTGCCCACTCTTCTAAATCCTAGGAGCTCTGCGTCAACGTACCTGAAACAAGACGGCAAACGTTTATTGTGTGTGCTTACTGCGCGCAGGTGGGCTCATGGCACATAATCCTCACGCCTACTCAGGGAGTTAAGCATTGTTACCACATCTCATAGATTAGGAAACGAAATTAATCTACCTAAGGCTGTGGGACTGATGAATTTCAGGGCTAGTATTTAAACCTGAGCCTATTTGACCTCAGAGTCCAAATTCTCCATGAGATTACTATACTACACTGCCCAGGCACCTTAAATAGGACTCTGGTGATGAGTACAAGGAATCTGTATGGACTAGCAGTTTACTAATTGTAACATATGCAAAACATATGTCCGTAGATTAAACATTACCAGGATGTATACTATGTGTTTATACCTAAAAATGCTAGTATGCCAATTACATTTTTCCTTTTGTTAACCAGACAGTGTGGTACCTTGGGAGCTTTTATAGTATTAAGGTTAAGAATATGGGCTTTGATTTAAATAGACAAGAGCCTACCCTGAATGACACTATATGGTGGATACAAGTCATTAAACATTTATCCAAATCTAGAATGTACATCAAGAGTGACCCCTAATGTAAACTATGGACTTTTGGTGATAATGATGTGTCAATGTAGGTTCATTATTAACAAATGTACCACTCTGGTGGAGGATGTTTATAATGGAGGAGGCTATGTATAAGGGGGAGAGAGTGTATGAGGAATCGCTGTACCTTCTTCTCAGTTTTGCTGTGAATCTAAAACTGCTCTAAAAAACAAGGTCTATTTAAAAGTAGAGGTGTTTCCACTTCAACTCACCAGTTAATCTCCGGAAGCCTCCAGTTCCTTACCCATACCATGAGTATAGTTACAGTGCCTGTTCCAAAGAGTTATGTTAAGGATTAAGTAAGGTATTGATTAAAGCACTTAGCACAGGTACCCTGTGAGCACTCAGTAACTGTGAACTATCATCAGTATCACATTTACATGCTATAGGACTTGTAAAGAAATTGTTACAGTATACGTAAAGATAACTAACCCTCTGCCTAATGCAAAAATAGACATCCCCATCCTTGGGTCCTTTTCTTGTCCCACTTTTGAGAAACATCAAGAAAGTGCTACCAGCCTTGATCCTACAGAAAACCACTGAGTATATCTCCTTATAACCTTCCTGTGTTGAGTGGAATTGTGCAAAAATGGAACACTGCCCACTGGGAACCTGAGTCCATACAAGCTTCTATTGAATGATAGAGAAGCAAAATTAGGAGAAGCCCTGATGCATGCAAAGGTCATTTATGCCTTCCTGCTTGAAAATTGAGAACAGTACATGGATTCCTGGTTCAGCCCTCCACCCTTTGCTGTGGGACCTATAGATTCCACAGGCATCATTCAAGTTCATTTGCTCTGTGGTTTGTTGAGGAGACCAGCCTGCTTGACTCAAAGTGCAGAATGCTGACATTTTTAGCCTCCAATGTCTCTTTTTGGATGGAGACTCACACACTTGGCCTCAGCCTCTTATCTGCTTAGCTTGAAAGGGAATGGTGATAATCCAGATTTATTTTTCTAAGAATATACTTGGTATATGATATTGAGTTTTAATTAAGAGCTTTAGAAATTGAACATGTTGCTTAGTGGAATTCCCATCAGTTTCTTCTTTTTTTAAAAAATGATTAACTCACAGGTAATTAAGGACATCATTTTTTTGAACAGTTGATGTGAACTTTATACCAGTAATACTGGCTTTGTACACTTTTTTCATGGTGAGATATATATCTTTCGTATTCATCCTCCCTATTAAAAAACATTAATGCAGGATTGTTTTGTGCTACTCTTTCTTAAGAGAAGCAGCAAATTCCAATTTATGATTATTGGTTTTTTCAATAGATTGACATTGTAATACAGGTTGTTCATGTACTGGTAAATCACCCAAGAAAATTAGCACAAGAACATGTTAAAAACCACCGTCAGAAATGCAACTAAGAAATTTTAAAGACTTTTAAAATTGACCCATACTCTTTAAATGCTGCAAAATGAATTATTTTGATTCAACATTAAAATATAACACACCGTGTTTTTATATATTATATTCACTTATATTGCTACATAAAAAGTTCCCACAAACTTAGTTACTTAAAACAACATACATTTGTTATCTCAGAGTTTCTAAGGATCCTGGAACAGCTTAGTTGTGTCCTCTACTCAGGGTCTTACCAGGGCTGTGATCAAAGCATTTGGCCATTTGGGTTCTCATCCTGCAGCTCAATTAGGGAAAATCTGCTCCCCAAATTATTCATGTTCTTGGCAGAATTTGTTTCCTTGTGGCTGTATAACTGAGGGCCGTACCCTTTAGCTGTATGTTGGCTGAAGGAAGCCTTCAGGTTTCGAGGCAACCTTCAGGTCCTCGAGGACAGCAGTGGTTCTAGCGACTTCCCATAGTTCCCTTCCATGGGCTTCCTCAACAGGGCTGCTCACCCCATCAAGCCAGCCAAGAGCATCTCCTTAGTGCTTGCTGGCACAGTGAACACACACACACACACACACACACACACACACACACACACACGTGTATTATAATTATGGAGTTTGACTTTTGTGACATCACTCACCTTTGCCATATCCTATTGGTCAGAAACAAGGCCCAGGTCCTACCAGCACTCAAGGAGAGAGGATTACACAAAGGCATGAACACCAAGAGGCAGGAAATCATTGGGGATCAACTTAGAGTCTGTTTACCACATGTTTCAAGTCAATGCAGTAAAATATGTCCTTCATATTAACTAGTTACAGCTTTATTTGGGAGATTTTAATGATATTGTTGCATTTTGAAATTCTGATAAGTGCCACATGACAGCATTGGTTTTGCTATGTTTTATGTTACTCAGAGCATTATGTTGTTAAGTTGAAAACACTGCAGTCTTGGTGTTGATTTTTGTGCATTTGGGTGGCTTGAAAAGAATGAATCTTAACACTTGATGGCAGTAGTAACTCGTTCAAAATTCAGTCAGTGAAAGTCCTTATATGAAAGAAACTACGTGAAGTTAGACCCTTTATAAATATATTTGATCATGAATACCTTATTTAAATTACTCCAGGTTGCCAGTATTAATTATTATTTATTCTAGTGTGGTGGCATTGGGTATATTTATTAGAGTTTAGTATTTTTTGACTGGCTTTTGGAACTCAAACCTCAGCTAATTAAACTTGTAAATAAAATTCTTTAGAGAAAAGTTGGATATACCTGATACATTTGGTCAGAGAAATGAAATACAAGTATTTCAGATTTATATTTGTAACCAATGCATTGCTATGTTATACGAAAAATAATGTCAATAGAACTCATTTTATGCACTCTCAAAAACGTGCCTTTTTCCACCATGAATATAATCATGTAATTTGAAACCATCTAGCAGTTCCAGAGGCTAAATACAAGGTATTAAGCCTTTCTGACTTTTTGAAAGTGAGAAAAAAGGGATTTAAAATAACTCATTGCTTTCTCTTCATAATTTGGGAAGTTGTGGGGTTAGTTTGCAAATTGCTGAGGCATGCTGTGCATCAGGGAATACCACTGCAATATTTTCGAAACATTTATGAATTCTCATATTATTTAAGTAAATTAGGAAGGGAAAATTAACTTTGTAATGAGATAACTACAAAGACAATGTTGCTACAGATTTAAAGAGAAGTAAGGATGTGAATTTTACACTCATAATAGTACTATGTGTAGGTATTATTTGCTATCGTCCTTTGAAAATATTACTAACCCTATAATAACTCAGGGTTTTCAGACGATTAACACAACACATTTTAGGCCTGTCATCTGAAAAACCTGTGTATTCGGTAAGAATTACTTAGGAATTTTAAATGGAAATGTTTGCTTATAAATAGTTTTAAAGTACACTGTAATACGGGGCAATAAAATGTAGTGTCCTCCCTTTTGGAAAATAACCTGTAATATTTAGAGAAAAGTAAATGTGTGTAGCAAATTCATAAAGAAAAAAACGTTGTCATTAAAAAAAGGATTGTATTTAATCAGGGATCAGTTTTAGAGTTTTGGAGGCTAGGATGTCCAAGATCAAAGTCTCAGCTGATTTGGTTTT